ACGCGTTAATTTTAGCTTTACCGCTCACAGCGGGCTTTTTTCGTCGTGCTGTGATGACGTCAGGTACGCGGTTTCGTCAAGCGCGCTTTAGTCGACCGCGGTTTTGTGGTGGAACCGTTGAGTCTTCCTTGTGGGTAGTTCTAAAAATATTTCCTTTGTTTCCCCTAATCTGATTAATTCATTTGTTTAATATTAAAAATTATCATTTTTGTGCTGCCCCAAATGGTACCATTTGTGTGATTGTGCCATTTTGCAAATTATATAAATTGCAGCAGAAATTTAGTTCTTGCATGTAAACACTCTTGTACTGCTGTCCACTGTATTTTAAAAGACAGGAAGTATTTAGGCTGCAGTTGAAAAAGCAATGTGCTGCATAGTTTAATGTCATCTTTACATGACATAGAATTTGAGCTAGTATTTTATCTGTTCATTGCAACTGCTAATAGAACAATTTGTCATTTTAAAGCTTGTACTTTTGTGGATTGAAATTGAGATTGAACAATACATTTCTCATTTTCCACTCTCTTGCCAATAACTTCATATATACAACTTCATACAGTGCCCTTCATACATTTATTTGTGAGGCTTACACATTTTTGGTAGTAATAGTCTCCCCTAGGAGTTTGTCCTAGAAATGCTTTGTATGTAGTTTGGAGTATGTAGGTAAGCACACAGTATGTATGCTTTGAATGTAGTTTGGAGCTGCAGAAAAACCTTGCACTCCACTAAGTATTATGGCACCATGCTTAAAATCTTATACTAAAATGCTTTCAAACTCGCCTTTCTGTATTTGAGGACACCTAAAGCAAACTTCCAGCCTTTCCTCCACTTCAATAGGCCATCCAGTGAATCAGTTATGTCCATGTTTGCCAAGAACTACCCTTTTGGAAATCTTTGAAATATATCAGTGTCCCCAAGACCTTATGCTTCCCAACAACCTTGATTGATCTTTCAATCTGAGGCAAAGGTTTCTTTTTAATTTTGTATGTATAAAATCACTTTTAAGTACGTTTTCCGGTTATTCCCTGTCTTCATGGTAAAGCTGGCTATAAAATAAGCATGATTTGTGATTGCAATAACTTGAAAGTTAAACTTTCATAGTTTGCAGTTGTATATTACTTATTGCATTATAGTGAGAGACATGTGTTGTGAGAAATAAATGTTTTTCATTAGAGTGCCAAACCAAAACTTCCCTGTTTTCTAGTCATTAATCACACAGACTCGAGCAAAACAGGCAGCTACTATGAGTGAGGTGGAATGGAGGGGAAGAACGGTGCCTGTGAAAATAGACAAAGTGAGAATCTTTCTGTTGGGATTGGGAGATACTGAAGCAGCTATAACTCAAGTAAGTAAACTCTTAAGTAGGGTTCTATGGTCACGTGAACTTGGTAGCTACACTATTATATTCCAATTTCTATATAAAGGAGAAAATTTATATATAATTTGTTATGTATTTAAATTCATTAGTCATTGAATCTGGGTAAGACATCATGCCAGTTCAGTTTATTTTATTGCCATCATAAACATTGAAAATTAATTCAATTTTTTTAAAAAAAATCCAAAATAGGGTATTGTGAAAATGAGCAATTTAACAAAATAAAATGAAAAAGAAGTACTCAGCTTCTTTGTGTAAAAGACTCTTAGAACCTGCTTATTGATACATTACAGTGAGTGCTCTAGGTCAGTGATCCCCAACCCCCGGTCCGCGGACCGG